CACAGACGATATAGCTTCCCGTGCCTTGACTTTATAGAGGTCAACTGGGAGGACGAGAAAGAAAGAAAAAATTGCCGTCATTTCGTATATGCATGGCGTGGCCCACAACCTCATACCTATTGCAGGCAGATGTCAAGTGGATGTTTTGTTCACCGCTCCCGACAAGCTTTCTAGATTGTGCCGAGCCGCTAATCCCTCTGATAGGGAGGTGAGGGGCTGCACTACTAAGCTCCGCAATCGTTACGTCACCTGCGCTGAGGGAGTTGTGGATTCCCTCCCTCTGTCTTGCGGCAGGCGTTATGTTGGCCAGACAGGGCGCTGTCTCAACGACAGGGTAAGGGAACATGCTTACACCGTCTCTTCGACGGTTTCCGGTCATCTCGGCATACATCGCCGTGACTGCAGATGCCACCCTCAGTTCCAACAGTGCGAGGTCTTAAAACGCCACCGGGACCAGCTGACACGTGAAATTTTGGAGGCTCTAGAAATAGACAGATTGAGTGTCATGGTCTGTCAGCAGCCCTTCTGTTGCATTATCTAGGAAGGAGATTGATTTTCTGGACACTTGATTAGCTTTGTTTTATCTTTTTTGAGGTGATGCTTCGTGTTTGTTTGTTTTTTGTGCTTTTGCTTTTGGGTGTTTTTCAGGCTGATTTTCTTCTTTTTGCTCTAGATTGTGCGTATATATTGCACCGTTGAGTTCGATAAAAATTTAATTGCGAGTCAGCGCTCTGTCTGTGTCCTTCTTTACCCTGTCCGTTGTCTTTTGGGCGGTTTTAACCTTTTAAGTATTTCTTTTATGAGTACAAATACAAACTATAAAAATAAGAGGATATATGTGCTGATCCCAAACGAATATGCTAGCCTTTGTAAGGTATCTCTGCCAAGTACTTAAGGTTATTTGAGTTTATTTTCAGCTACTTGAGAGCCTCAAGATCGGGACATCCTGGTGGACACAAGCTCGGACTCAATATTCTTGTGTGGTTTGGCCAGATCCATGGGGGAGGTAATCCTAGCAACAAGAACATCGCAGTATCTCCCTGCGTGTGACTTTTGGTTAGCGTCGTGACAGGAAGTCCTCGTGCCACCAGGTGTTAGGTACGGCACTTGAAATAAGCATTTTTCTTACCCATCCGTTAAGCGAAACAGCAAAAGCCCCAAAATGCAAAAGGCATATTAAAATCTTGGGTTGAATGGAGTTCCAATTACAAAAAGGAGTCTGCTGACGTGATTAACATGTAAACTTAAAGCCCGCGGATACAGGTTCGTCGGTGTCACAGAAATAAGTTCTTACAGATGGCTTCGCTCGTGCTATATCCAAATTCTTCAAATGATCATTGTGTTACGTTGTATGGCGCACCGTGCATTCACGAGGGCGCCCATCAAACCACTCTGCCGTCTCGGCCGCGAGGCAGCTATGCAGTTGCCTCGCCTCAGACATGATCACATGGGCGTGTCGCCGCGGGGTCGATCGGGATCTCGAATTCGGCTCCCGACGAGCCGCTTTCTCCCCTAGCCACTGGATGGCGCTGTAGGCGCCCCTTGGTGGGCGAGGAGAAGCCTCCTTGCCCATTGATCGCTATATACCCAGTAGACAGGGGTCGAAGAGTAGACAGGGGTCGAAGAGAGACAAGGCATGAAATCGGTCGCGTCGTACCCCTTCTAAATCTGAATAAAACGTATCCAACAACAACTTAGAACTTCGGACGCTACCGAGTCCAGGCAAGCGTAGGGCGACCGGATCTAGGGTAATCGCGGGACACGAGGCCTGGGGGCCCTCTTTGTGTTTAGCTTTGGGCTTAACGTGCGTTTATAAATATTTGTGTAGTGTCGCGTGTATTTGTAGTTTAAATTGAGTGTTTTGTAGCGTTGCGTTTCATTGTACATAAAAACGGGGAGCGGAATCCCGCGCCCGTGAAAGAACCAGAGTGGACTTGGGTTGTTGACGGACAACGTGGGATCTGGCGTATCGGCGGCGGTACGCGAATTCCTACAAATGACGCCCAACGTGGAGCCCGAACCCACGACCCTGAGATTAAGAGTCTCATGCTCTACCGACTAAGCTAGCCGCGCTGAGGGACCAGACTTTTGATCTCGTCCGCAGGACAGTTCACATTGGGACTTCTTCTAATCGATGACGAAGGGGCACCCACTTGGCGGCCAACGCCGCCGAGAAGAACTTACTCGCCTTGCTCTGAACGTGACCTCGCCCAAGAACGGTGCGCTTTGTCATAGCTGTTCTTCTGCTCCGCCTGCGCAAGACCACTGTTTCCGCGAGCGGCGTCCAGCGCCCGTGACAGTCGCTCTCTTGTCCGCGTCGCGAAGTCCTCGAGCGAGGGCACCGCTCTGGCGGCGCTCTGTCGCGGGCAAAGAACCGCATCGGTCGGCGTAGGGAGTTCTCTGCCGAAGTTCAGCAGCGCTGTTGTGAACCCAGTGCTGCGGTCGAGGTTGGACCGCAATGCAAACGAAATCGAATCCAAGTGCAGATCGCAGTCCCGCTGCTTACGAGCATACGCCCCGAGCAGCGGCTTGATGTCGCGGTTCCGCCGCTCGGTCAAATTTGCTTGGGGATGGTAGCAAGAAGTCTTACAACGCCTAATCCCGAAGGCCTGGCAGGTTGCCGCAAAGACTTTCGAGCAAAATATCGATGCGTTGTCACTCACGAGTCTCTCAGGGAACCCGTAGCGGCACCAGACCTCGGACAGCCTGCTCAGGACTCCCTTGGCTGTCTCCTTCCGCATTGGAAACATCCCGCCAAATCCGGTGAAGTGGCAGGTTACTACCAACACATGTTGACAGCCTCCGCTTGACCGCGTCAGGGGTCCCATCAAGTCGCAGGCCACGATCTCCCATGGCCTCGTACTCACGATGGGTTGAGCAAACCGGGTGGTCTGCCCCCCCCTCGGCTTCCGCTCTTGGCACACTGCGCAGCTCCGGACGTACCGGAACAGGTGCCCCGTAACGGCGCAGCTTATGCCACGACTTCGGCGCACCGCCGTGACCGTCCGCATTGTGGTAGTGACGCAGCGCTGCCACTCTGAGATCACGGAGAATCACGGTCTTGAACCACTCACTTGAATCGCTCTCTTCCGGGAAGCAGCGCAGCAGGACGCCGTCCCCATCGATCAGGTAAGACTCCAGCTCACCTGCTTCAATGTCTGACTCCCGGGCGGTGGCACTTGGCCCTCTCGGTGTTCCGGAATGCCGGAGCGTCTTTTCGCCTGTCTGGTCAGGATCCATCTCTTGCCTGAGCCTGTCGAAGATAGCGTGACAAAACGAATCGTTCTGCTGTGCTTCGAACAGTTCCTTTCGGTTGAACGCCGGTTCCAGTGAGGTAATCGCCTAAGCCAGCTGCTCGACGCCGCCACAGTGGGGAGCGGAGCGCGAGGCGGGATTTCCCGTCTCCCGGTGGATGGCCCCGCCTCCGTAGTCTGCTGCCTCGCGCGGTGGGGGATCCAGGGGTGCGCGGGAGAGCGCGTCGGCCGCCACATTTGTCGTGCCCTTCTGGTACCGAATTCGGTACTCGTACTTCCGCAGTGTCAAGACCCAGCGCGCCAGTCTTCCGGCGGGTTCCTTGATTCGGGAGAGCCACGCGATGGCCGTATGGTCCGTCTCGATCGTGAATTTCGTCCTCTCAACATAATGATCGAACGTCTTAAGAGCAAAAATGATGGCGAGGCATTCCCGCTCACTCACCCTGTAGCTCTTCTCCACCGGGTTCAGCTCCCGGCTGGCAAATGCCACCGGGCGGATCTCTCCCTCTGCTTACTGCAAGCGTACTGCGCCGAGACCCTGGTCGCTGGCGTCCATCTGGATCGTGAAGGGCCTATTCAGGTCTGGTAGTTTGAGGGAGGCTGTACGCGCCAAGGCCTCGGTCAGCTGGACGAACGCCTCCTCCTGCGGCGCCTCCCAGCTCCAGGGAGCCGCTTTCCTCAGCAATGGACGCGTGAGGGGTGCCTGCATGGCTGCGCAGTTCGGGATGTAGGCTCGGTAGCATCCTATCATGCCGAGAAAACGGCGCACTCCCCCGACACCGGTAGAGACTGGGAACTCCAAGATCTCCCGCAACTTGTCCGCGTCGGGGGTCTTTTCCTCTCTTGATCCGGAATCCCAACAACCTGATCTCAGAAGCTCCAGTTTGGGCTTTAGTCGGGTTTAGTGTGAGGCCGGCGATCCATAGTTTGCGCAACACGTCCTCGAGGTGACGAAGGTGGTCCTCGAAAGTTTCCGACTACACAATGATGTCGTCCAGGTACGCGAGCGCGTACTGCCACTTGGCATCTCCGAGCACCCCGTCGATCAACCGCTGGAATGTCATCGGTGCGCCTGTTAATCCGAACGGCATCCAAGTGAACTCGAACAAGCCTCGATGACACACGAATGCAGTTTTGCTTTCGTCGCCCGGGCTCATCTCCACTTGGAGGTAGCCTTTGCTTGCGTCGAAGGTAGTGAAATAGTTCGCCGTCCCCAGATTCGAGATGATTTCTTCGATGCTCGCAAATGGATACGCATATTTTACGGTCAGCTCGTTCAAGCGTCGATAATCGACGCAGAGTCTTGATGTTCCGTTCTTCTTTGGCACCAAAACCACCCGGAATCCCCAGGGTCCTGATGACCGGCGAACGATTCCGGACTCCAAGAGCTCATCGACTGCGGCATCTATCGCTTTTCGCTTCGCCAGGCTGAAAAGACGCGGATTGCACTTCCAAGCGCATGCGTCCCCAGTTTCAATGCGATGCAGCCCGGCTGTTCGGTGAACATCTCGTCAAAGTTGTGCAGCATAGCCGCCAACTTCTCTCGCTCTGGGGCCCTAAGCTGGGCGGCGGCGAGAAGCGGCGAGAAAACTCGCCGAGGCGCCGACCGCCGTGATTGGTCGGCGCCGCGACTGACCTTGTAGCCGGCAACACCCTAGACGCTGACGTCACCGTGGCGCGGACAGAGTCGCCCAACTTGAAAACGCAATCTCGCCGGCGAATTCCCCGTGACGTCATAGTGATGTCACGGTGACTCGCCGCGAGTTCGGAAAGCGCGCCCGGTTGGAGAGGGGCGAGCAGTGGCGAGATCGAGCGAGAAGCGAAGATGGCGGTGTACGAGTTGCTGTACTTTTGGTTTCGCCGACGACGGCGTCTTTTCACGCACGTCGACGCGTTTGTTATGAACGACGACGAGTTCCGCCGGCACTACCGATTGTCTAAGAACATCGTGCGGTGGCTCTGCGACGAACTTCGAAACGACGCGGCCTTGAGGCGGCAGCGATGCCCAAGGACGGTGATGACGGTGGAGCAGCAGGTGCTTTGTGCGCTGCGATTCTACGCCACTGGAAGCTACCAGGGACAAGTGGCCAGCGACCGGCACCTCGCTGTTCGCCAGACCACGGTCAGCGCATGTGTTCGCGCCGTGTCTACGGCCATCGTGCGCCGCCTCGGTCCCCGGTGGATCGCCTTCCCCCAGACCGCGGAGGAACGGGCGGCGGCGCAAGAAGCCTTCCTTCGTCGCGGTTCCTTGCCCGGAGTCGTCGGGTGCGGCGACGGCACCTTCGTCGCAATGAAGGGACCCTCCAAGGACGACCCTACCGTGACAAAGGCGCTCTACCGTTGTGTAAAACTGTACTACGCCCTGAACGTCATGGTGGTAAGTGCAATATATTTTACAGTTCGCGCTCATCCCAGACTCACACGAAGTGAATACGAAATCGTATTTACACCGATAGAGTTAGGTCTCGTATAAAACGAATATCTGAAGTTGGAGCGTAACTTAGTGGGAAGGTGTCCGCCTGTCACGGAGCGGACCCGGGTTCAATCCAGAAAGTGGACATACTTTTTGGCGATGTTTAAGGCATTTCATTTTTTACAATTATAGGTGAAAAAAAAAAGTTGTCGACGAGACTTTGCTGAATTAAATGGTATGGGACTCCCTTTCCGGAGGCCTGTAATGACGGACAGCGGGGCTTGAGTTGCCGGCTGAACACCGCGAAGCGGCGTGTACGGGGGACGAACTGGGTTGATAGTTTTGTAATGAGCAGCCGCAGATTGTCGCTGCTAAGCGGAGTGAGCGCAAGGGGCAGGGGGGGGGGGGGGGGGTTGGTCGGGTTGGTTAACACGTTTCACAGTGATACACGCGCCGTCCGAAAAGGGTGACCCAAATGGCATTATCCCTCCGCGTCGTGCGTATGGCCATCTCCGGTCAAGGTGCACGACGTCGTGCTGTAGCCTTACTCTTTTTCGTAAGTGTTCTGGCCAGGCACATTCCCGAGTCGTATCGGTTCGTGACTCCGGAAGGCGCAGTGGCGTAGCCAGGAATTTTTTTCAATAGGGAAGGGGGGGAGGTGATTGGGATGTCCATGACTTGGGGGGCGAAGCGGTGGAAGGCTCTAAATGTATGTGTATAGTATAGGGTCGGCTGGGGGGGAACGTGCTGAAATCCCAAAAGCCTCCCTCCTGGCTATGCCACTGGTTAGGCCTGGTGCTATTCGAACTTGTCAAGGAACACTTGTATGACAAGAAAGCGACCTGTAAAAATTGAGGAATGTGCGCGACAACTGGACAAACTGTGCGCCAGCATCTGTCCTACCTCCCTCTGAGTGCCCTCTTTATTCTAGGTGTCTGACGCCGACCTGCGTATCCTGGCCATCGACCCAAGGATGCCCGGCTCAACCCACGACTCATATGTGTGGAGGCGTTCGTGGGTGCGCCAAGAGTGCGTTGCTGGCCATCTTGTCAGGCACAATGAGTACCTGCTTGGTGAGCGATCTTAGCTCAGCACCGTGAAGGCCCGTTCAGACAATTGCAGCCAAGTATGACCAAATGAGACAAGACCGGGTTTTAAGCGTCTTACTACGGGATGCGTTGATACGGAGCTGGTCGTAAGCCATTACAAGAGGCTTAAAGACCGGTCTTGGCTCAGTCGGTTGTAGTTAAACGCAAGTGTGTGGACAGTCCTTAAAGTTTCAGTCAAAGGCGACCACCATTTAAGTCAAGTCAAGGATCGTGGAGAAATTTTAGTGCTTGAGATACAGGATTAGAACATGCATTAGCAGTTTCAAAGCATCTTTGTTATGAAGCACATACTTTTCACTCGTAGGGAGTTTTAGTAGAGCATTCTATACCTCCAAGAACGACTCACTATAGGTCAATACGACGCACGCACAAAGGCGTCAGCAAGCTACTGGGTATTGTTTTCGGGCTTACTGCAGCAATTGATTAAAACTAAATAATACCCGTTGATTGGTTGTTGTGAAAGCATTCTCCTCAAATGATACGAGTGAGGGACTATATACGTGATCAGTAGCACTTGTGCAAAGTGTAGGGAGTGGTTCAGATGTCTAAGGAACAGTCATACTTCTTTCCATGCAGGCGACAGTGGGTACCCCCTGGAGCCCTGGCTGATGACTCCTGTGCCTGGGCGGCCAGCACTTGGCACACCGGCTGGGCAATACAATCAGGCCCACGCCTCCATGAGGGCAGTCGTGGAGCGCTGCATCGGGCTGCTGAAGAGCAGGTTCCGGTGCTTACACAGGCACCGGACCCTTTACCATCATCCGAAGATCTCTCACAGGTTCCGGTGCTCGCAGAGGCTGCCACGATCGTGCCGATCGTGGCAGCCTGTGCGGTGCTCCACAATGTCTGCCTACTCAGGAGAGGCCAAGCCAGAGCCACAGTCAGACTCAGATAGCAGTTCTGACAAGGACAATGATGAAGAAGAAAGCGCTGACGCAGTTCGCGAGCGGAGAGGCCTCCAGTCGGGGCGTCTCTACAGTCAGGGCAAGGCTGTGCGGGACCGCCTTGTGCTTCTGCCGAACACAACCCACCTGCAACGCGTCCGTGAACGACTGCGTCGCACCCGTTGTCGCCGCCAGAACCAGTGATGCACTGTAACTCGTCACCGGGGCCTCTTTAAATTGAGTGTGTGCGTGTGTGTTTGTACAGTGGGGTGGATGTTGTGCCGAAGCCATTTTGGACTTCGTGTGTGCTTGTGTACAGTGATGTGGATGTGCCAGAGTCATCTTGTACCTTCTTTGTGCATGTGTACAGTGCGGTGGGTGTTATGCCAGAGAAATTTTGGACTCCGTGTGTGTGTGTGCTGCGCCGTGGATGTGCCGAAGCCATTTTGGAGTCTGTGTCAGTGTGTACAGTGCTGTGGATGTTGTGCCGGAGAGAGCTTGTTTGGACTCCGTGTGTGTGCGTAGGGAAACTGTTTTAATGTTTCGGATGTAAGCACCACAGGCTTGGATGCATGTGTACGTGTAGTGCTTTTGAATTATTTTCAGTGCTTTGGGCACAGACTCCACAGGTCTGGATTGCGTGGGGTACGTGTAGTGTTGTTTTTTTTTTGCTCCTTTTCAATGTTTTAGGTGCATGCTCCACAGGTCTGGATTGCATGGGGCACATGTAGCATTTTTCACTTGTGTTCAATGTTTTGGGTGCATATTCCACAAGTGTGGATTGCATGGGGCACATGTAGCATTTTTTACTTGTTTTCAATCTTTTGGGCACAAACTCCTCAGGTCTAACTTGCGTGTAAGCTTGTAGTGCTTTTGACTTGTATTCATTGTTTTGGGTGCAAGCTCCGCAAGTCAGACTTCCATGTGCACGTGTAGCGCTTTTCAATTCTGTACAATGCTTTGGGTGCAAACTCCACAGGCCTGGATGCAAGTACACGTGTAGTACTTTTGAATTGTATCTATTGTTTTGGGCGCAAGCTTCACAGGTCTGGATTGCATGGACACGTGTGCTTCCAACTTGTGTTTAATGCTTTGGTCGCAAGCTCCACAGGTTCCTGGATTACATGGGCACTTGTAATGCTTTTGATTTCTGCTGTGGCACTTGCAGCTTTTTTCTGGAGATCGGCTGATAAAGGTCCGTGACACAGTAATAACAGGACTGCAAAGGATGTTTGCAAGAAAGAAAAAGTAGTGCCATTCAAAGTAATTCTGCCCACGATGTTGCATCTTTGAGGTGGTGCACCGTGGCTGGGTGTGATTAACTTTGGTCTAAACTTATCTGAGTGAGCAACCTCATTTACCCTTGCCATATCTAGCAGATGCCAACAGGCAAAAACGTTCTTGCTAGCAAATGTGCATTTTTTTAGATTTTTCACCATACTATTGGGTTCGAATGAAATGCAAACACCAGAGCCCGTGGCTGTCAACAGATGCTGCACCTGCAGGAGGCATCCGGAAACTGATAAAACTTTGGGGTGGAGAATAGAGCGCTGCGAGCGGGTGCGTCCTATTTCGATGTGCTTGAGCCTTGCCCAGCACAACCCAAGCGTCCACAATGCACCGGTGTTCTGCTGTAGGTTCCGTCACTGTTCGCACTTCATTCAAACCCGATAGGACAGTCACTGTGTCTAATTCCGATTTCCCATATTCCTTCATGTGTTGCGAGATATGCAGTATTTTGGAGCAGATGCTTAGGTCTGTGCAGTCCACACATCTTATGGTAGTTAGTACCTGTCTCTGAATTAATTTGACATAAACAAATTCATGGCAAAGAGGTTCCGGGTGAAGATTCGCCACAGTCGGGTGCTTGTACGACTCGTAGAGTACGCTGTTCGAAAACATGAATGTTAGCGGTGTGTATATAGCCACGACGCTTAGTAAAAGAAGTGTTTTTTTGGTTTGTTGCTACGAAAGGTGGACATATTCAGCCGGTGGCCAGGAATGAGGAACCGCTGATTGCTACTTGTGTTTTTTCAAAAGACGCTATGTCGGATTATTGGCTACACTCTTAAAAATAAAGGAGTCCAAAGGGAGTCACTGCTTCCATGACTCTCTTTGACACTTCACGACTCTCTTAGAGAGTCAATTTTTCATGCGACTCTGTTTTGACTCTTCCCCTTCTCAACGGGAGTCACAGGACAGCAGCATTTGCCCTACCGAAAAAAAGTATGAATGCTGCTTCGCGGCGTCCAGCCGGCAACCCAAGCCCCGCTGTTTCCCTATGCACCCCTAGAAAGGGAGTCCGACACCATTTAGCTCAAAGCTTTGTCGACATTTTTTTTTTCAATAATGATTGTGCAAACAAAAAATTAAAAAGGAAAGGAAAAAAGAAATAATACACAAAGTTTCGTCGACATTAATTTTTCTCAACAATAATTGTAAAAAAAAATGTTTATTTTTTGCATCGAACTTGGGTTCGCTCCGTAAGAAGCGGGCATCTTTCCACGTAGCTATACCTGCGAGTACTCGTTTTGAAAATTCGTTTTATACGAGATTCAACAAGTTTCGCGACGTGCATATTATTCGAAACCGAATCCTGCGGCTGCATTTTACATATTTCTGGAACTGTCATGGGCTGCGTCTTTGGGAGTGAGTGAAGGTGCAGCAGCTCATTCAAGACTATACTCCGTTTCAAACGTAGCATGCAACGCAGTCAAAGCTAGCGCACCAGTTTGCATCGCCGACCGTGTCTACGTTCACCCCATAAAATAGTGCGTCCCCTGCAAAAACACTTATAAAATAGTCGAAAAATATGCCTCCTTGGAGCTAGCAACTGATAGTGGTGTTATGATTTCGACGGAGCACAAATTTTTTTAATAAAAAGAAAAAGATAATGTAAACTACTTTAAATTGTTTTCGTTTTCGTCCGTGCAACAGCCGCTGCGGGTTTTCGGGTTGTGTGGCACTGGCTGGTTTTGAGAAGATGGCGTCTTATGCAACAAGCTCAAGTACCTCTCCTGCTCGGATATTTTCGAAGATTCGTTGTGCGCAGACCTTGAAAGAGTGC